CTGTTTCCGCCGAAAGTCATTACCACCCGCGTGAATAACAATTCGACGGAAACGCTGCTTGTGGGTCATCATGAGCCTCAGATTCCCTTCAATATCACCAAGCCTGGCCCCAGGGAAGCACCGAACAGTGGCTCCTGGGATCTTAACACCTCTAACAATAGAGGAGCCAATTACCAGCGCATCAGCGACTCCATCGGCTCTCTCAGCAGCTCTCTCAGCAGCTCTCTCAGCAGCTCTCTCAGCAGCTCTCTCAGCGGCTCTCTCAGCGACTCTCTCAGCGGCTCTCTCAGCAGCTCTCTCAGCGGCTCTCTCAGTGGGGCCTTCTTCCCCGCCCGGCCGCACGGGGGCGCAGCCGGACAGAGCGTCCCAGCGATTGTAAATGCTAACAGGAGGAGGCCCAATGGGGAAACTACCAACAACACGTGGCCCTCTCCGAACAGTCACAAAGCCATCACTATCCTGGTCTTGTCCCAGCTGCGGAGGACGGGCTGGGAGGCTAGGCTCGCTGGTTCTCCTCTGCCTTTCCCTAAAGCTGCGCTCCGCTGTCCCTGAGGATACGGCCTGGCTGTAGCTAATGCTAGCGCTAGCTCGAGACTCCAGTGCTCGGAGACGCAGCTCTAACTCACTGACCCTGGATTCCAGAGCTACGACTACACTACACTTCACACATCTATCACTACCCTCAGAGAAGGATCAAGGGTTTAGACTCGCCATATGGCAACTCGAGCAGTAAAGGATTGAGGGAGAGACAGCAGCCGCCATAGTAGCGAGTTAGCGGCTAGGCTAGGCTAAGCTAGGCTAGGCTAAGCTAGTACGGATCCGGGCCCGCACAACAGACTCCGAGACCAGACAAACAACCGCTACCTAAACCTCAGCTGCAGTACAGCTGACTCGGAGTGTTTACACAGTTAGCTTGATGTACAATACGTGGATTTGTGATGTGTTTGTTAGAGCAAACAGAGAGCAGAGTGATAGCAGTCAAGAAACACGCTCACCGGATACAGGAAGTCACGTCACGTACCATGACATCCATCCATCCATCCATTTTCTACCCTTTAATCCATTTCTGGGTCAGAAAGCACCACTCACTGACCCTCTGCAGGTGGTGAGTCCACAGGAGGACGGCTGCTCTCTGACTGTGAGCATAGCCTTGATCTTTCAGTGGGGGTTTTGGGCAAAGTGGGGTTAAGTGTCTTGCCCAAGGACACAACGACAGCAGTCATCAGTGGGAGTCGGTGGAGAAGGTGCAGAGGTGGGAATTGAACCCACGACCTTCTGGCCTTAAGGCCAATGCTCTACCAACTGAGCTACTGTCGCCCTCTTCATTCTACTACATCCAAAGCCAATAGACCTCCATCCTTCCCGGTTAGCACCACTTTGTTCACCACTATTCCATGTTGAATAAATGTCTTATAAAAGTCCATAATAGTAGTTTCCCAAAATTTGAGTCTCATGCTAGCGAATGAGTGACCCAGTCCCTGTCTGCGTAGGTAGCTCCGGAAGTGACATCAAAATCTATTTTTAGTAAAGTGCTATTGTGCTGAGGTGGAGCTATTATTCATTATTTAAAAAAAAAAAAGTTCGATACTTTCTTTACATCTTGTAAGTGGATACTTTTGTTTGAAGTGGATATTGTTAGACTAATTACACTCTCCATAATCAGTTTAACAGCATGCTTTGATCACATACCAGGTAATATTTAAAGGGTATAATTGCTGCAAATGGATTTCAGTACTTTAAATCTGCCAGTCAAGTTTAAGTTTTCCTTCTCTTTGATGTACAAGGAAGGCAATTCATAAAATCAAGGATTCAGTCGAGCAAATGAATGTCTAAAATAAGGCCTGTGGGCTAAATGTGACCCATCCATCCATCCATTTTCATTTCTGCGGGGGCAGCAGTTTAAGCAGAGACGCCCAGACTTCCCTATCCACACACACTTCCTCCAGCTCGTCCGACCCCAAGGCGTTCCCAGGCCAGCTGAGAGACAGGCCTCTGTGTCCTGGGTCTTCCCCGGGGCCTCCTTCCGGTGGGACGTGCCCGGAACACCTCCCCAGGGAGGCGTCCAGGAGGCATCCGGAACAAATGCCCGAGCCACCTCAACTGGTTCCTCTCGACGTGAAGGAGCAGTGGCTCTACTCCGAGCTCCTCCTGTGTGACTGAGCTCCTCACCCTATCTCTAAGGGAGCAGCCACTCTGCGGAGGAAGCTCATTTCGACCGCTTGTATCCGCGATCTCGTTCTTTCGGTCATTACCCACAGCTCATGACCATAGGTGAGGGAGAGAACAAAGATTGTCCGGTAAATCGAGAGCTTCGCCTTTCGGCTCAGCTCCCTCTTTACCACAACGGTCCGATACAGCTCTGACTGCAGACGCTGCTCCCTCTTTACCACAACGGTCCGATACAGCGACCGCATCACTGCGCACGCTGCACCGATCCGCCTGTCAATCTCACACTCCATTCTTCCCTCACTCGTGAAAACAAGACCCCGAGATTCTTGAACTCCTCCACTTACGGACTGCTCCCCCTCACCTGCAGAGGGCAAGGCACGTTTTTCCAGTCGAGAACCATGACTTTGGATTTGGATGTGCTGATTCTCATCCCAACCGCTTCACACTCGGCTGCAAACCGTCCCAGTGCATGTTGTAGGTCCTGGTTCGTTGGAGCCAACAGGACAACATCGTCTGAAACAGCCGAGATGGAATCCTGTGGACTCCGAACTGGACCCCCTCCGACCCCTGGCTGCGCCTAGAAATTCTGTCCATAAAGACAGTGAACAGAACCGGTGACAAAGAGCAGCCTTGGCCGAGGCCAACATGCACCGGGAACAGGTCTGACGTACTGCTGGCGATGCGAACGCAGCTCTGGCTCTGGTCATACCGGGACCAGACGGCCCTCAACAGAGGACCCCCGTACTCCCGGAGAACCCCCCAAAGGACACCTCGGGGAACACGGTCGAACGCCTTCTCCAGATCCACAAAGCACATGTGGACAGATTGGGCGAACTCCCATGAACCCTCGAGTATCCGATGGAGAGTATAGAGCTGATCCAGTGTTCCGCGACCGGGACAAAAACCACACTGCTCCTCCTGAATCAGAGATTCGACCGTCGGTCGAAGTCTCCTCTCCAGATCTCATCCACTCCCGGCGCCTTGCCACCAAGGAGGCTGGCAACCACCTTGGTGACCTCAGCCAGCCATGGAAGTGTTCGCTCCAACATCCTCAGCCTCTGCCTCCGGAACAGAGGACGTGACGGGGGGATTGAGGAGAACATCAAAGTATTCCTTCCACCGTCCAACAATATCCCCAGTCGAGGTCAGCAGTTCTCCACCCACACCGTACACGGTGTTGGCAAAGCACTGCTTCCCCCTCCTGAGGCGCAGGACGGTTTGCCAGTCGATAGTCATGCTTCATGGACTCTCCGAACTCCTCCCAGTCCCGGGTTTTGCCTCTGCAGCAGCCCGGGCTGTGGCACGCTTGGCTAGCCGGTACTAGACAGCTGCCTCAGTAGTCCCACAAACCATCATGGCTTGATAGGACTCCTTCTTCAGCCTGACGGCATCCCTTACTGCCGGTGTCCACCGCCGGGTTCGAGGGTTGCCGCCGGGACCAGCACCAGAGACCTTGCGACCACAGCGGTGGAGAACATGGTCTACTCAGACTCTATGTCCCCCTCCTCCCCCGGGACCTGAGAGAAGCTCTCCCGGAGATGTGAGTTGAAAGTCCGTCTGACAGGGGGCTCAGCGAGACGTTCCCAGCAAACCCTCACTACACGCTTGTGTTTGCCAGGTCTGACCGGCTTCCCTCCCAGGGATTCCAAAAAGGCCGGGTACTCTGCACTGCTGTTAGGACCGTAGGCTGTCACAACAGTGAGACACTTGTCCCCCACCTGAAGGCGGAGGGACGCAACCCTCTCATTCACCGGGGAGAACTCCAACACTGAGATGGGGGGCAATAAGTATGGCCACCCCCGCTCGCCGCCTCTCCCTGCGAGAAACGCCCGAGAAATTAAGCTTCCAACCCCTCTCAAGGAAGCTGTGTGTGGAGGTGAGGCCGACTATCTCTAGCCGGAATCTCTCAACCTCCCCCACAAGCTCGGGCTCCTCCCCCCCAGTGAGGTGACGTTCCACGTCCTAAATGTGACCCGCATTTCTACACAAAGTAGCTATTGAAGTACTTTAGATCCACCCATATAGGTATGTTATACCTCGGTTTACAGGTATTTCAATTTTGGAATCCAGTTTACTTTTTTGGTATGTGCTGACATCTCTATTTGATTATGTTAAAATAAATCCATATATGTTGCTAATCTAGCTATTGTGAATCAATATACATAGTCATATCATACCATTTTTAAAGCCCAGAACAGCCCAAATCCAGTCAGAATAGTTTGACAAAGCCATTGTTCAAGAATGATTTCAAAAAGTGTCGTCAAGCCTGGTTTAGCTTTATTACCACAGTTTGCTCTGATTCATCATTAGTGTTTACATTATTTAGTTTTACATAATATAGAAATCTTTTGCATGTTTTCTCACAGAACATTTAAATATTACAAATATTGGTAAATGTAGGTGAACGGCCTGCTGTAAATTAAAACCAGATATGTAATTTCTTGTACTAAAGTAATTTTGAGTGAAGATAATTTCTTTTCTATTGAATCATGTTGCTTGTTCTGCCGTTGCTCACTCGTCTCTGATGACAGTCCTCGGTGCCTACTTTACTGTGACATGCTGCTATTAATGCCATTCAGTTTTGTGATTGTCGAGCCTAATGGCCTTGGAGCATTTACTTCAACTTTTGTGTGTTTTCCTGCTTTACAGAAATAGAAGCTCATCTCAAACACATTTCCACTGCAGGAACAAAAGCTTTTGAATGGAAATGCCATTCAAATGTGATTTTTATTTTTTTATTTTTTTCGTCTGTTTGACAGGAAGTGGAGACATTTTTTGTTGAAAGGCCAGGTGAGCCATAAAAGTGAACACATGTCTTTGTGTTTTCTCAGATGGAGCGTCAGATCATGATGCAGAACCAGATGAGGGAACAACAGATGGCCATGCAGATTGCCTGGTCCAGAGAGTTTCTCAAATACTTTGGCACTTTTTTTGGTTTGGCTTCATTGGGGCTCAGTGTTGGGTAAGTGCATTCTGTCATCAGCCACTGTATTATAACCAGTAGAAATGTAATGCACCATTTATCCATGATAACTCTGTTAGCGCCGGCCTAAAGTGAATGTCTGTTTTTTATTTGTGGAGGCATTTTTGTTTCCAAAGCAAGTACCATTAGGCCCGCCCATTCCCACCTCCACTGCCTCCTGATTGGACAGAATTTGTTAAAATCCTTGTTACACATACAAGGCTCATTGCCATTGGTCTAACTATTCTACTCTGGTGGTGTTTTTTCTGAGGGTCGAGGCCATATTAAACATACTGTTTTCTAATACTTACTTTACATCTTACTCCATTGTTAATCACCTTTCAATTTGACTACATGTTGTTCCTTCACTGGTGGTGTTCTCTGTGACATTTAAAATAAATTATCAGACCATAGCAGTATTTACGACAGTTGATGGGGGAAAAAAAGTGAAACATTTTCAAAGGATTTCCCTTTCCATTGAACCAAAATGAAATTGTTGGACTTTTGTTAATCACATTGTAAACACTTGCATGCTAAAACATGTACTGTTGAATTCTCAGTGCTATTAAGAAAAGAAGACCAGGGCTTTTGGGCCCCATTGTTCCTCTTGGTTTTATCTTTGCTTATCAACTGGACATGGCCTATGGAACATTCGTTTATCGGATGAGAGGTAAGAGCCCTTACTTTAAGATTCCCTCTATAAGAATAAAAAAAACAACAAATTTGATGAATGCACTACTGTGTCTGATCTCTCCTGTATTCTTAAAGAGGAAGCTGAAAACATCATGGCGGCTGAAGGCAATCGATTAGAGTTACCTCATGGGATCCCAACCTTTGAGAGCATAGAGAAAGCTCGTCGTGCCAAAAACACCCTCACTGCCTTTTTGGAGAAATGAGATTTGTTTATGTATTGTATTGCTGAATACACATTTGCACTATTTTAAAACGAGAAATGCAATAGTTAACTATTTATTGAGCTATGTATCATTAATAAACATGTTTTCTATCAGTAATTTCTGTTTGTTGTCAGCTTAACGTATTCACCATCTTTTCTCCAATGCCATTAGATAAAATGTAATCATTAATTAGAATCCATTCTTGAATTAAGAACCTGATATTGCCATCACATTTTTGTCTTCTAATTGATACAATTAATATTAACAAGTGAATATTCCAATAAAACCGCAACAATGCAAAGACTTGAATTGCGTCACAGCCATTAATCAAACTGACGTACGGCTGAGGGGTGGGTGCAGTTTACCAATCAGCTCGAGCTGGGGACTATATAAGGGTCAGTCTTGAGTCAATAAAATCCAAGAGCGAAAAGGCAAATATCTACAGAAATCAGAGTAGTAGAAAAGTGGGAGAATCAGCAGCAGAAGATGGAGTGGCGCCTGACTCTGGCGGTGTTTGCAGTGTGTGTGGGCTCTGTGTTCGGCGTTGGACAAGTGGACTTGAACAGAGCACTCATGCAGAGGGACTATGGGGTCAAACTGTGTGGAAGAGAGTTCATCAGAGCTGTCATCTTTACCTGCGGAGGGTCCCGGTGGAGACGCGCCCCTATTGACGAGTTTGGTAAGTTCAAAATAAGTATTTAAATGGTTGCACATTTGTATTCATTTGTGGGGAAAAACACTCTTTTCCATCTTTCTCATCAGAAACCCAGTGGGCGATCCAGGGGGATGTGACGGAGGAGGAGGAGCAGCAGAGCTTACCTCACGTGACTGACCTGGCTGACACTCGTATCCCCTCCCAGTCTCTGGTAGATCTGTTGGCGATTTATGGAGCTTTAGGAGAGAGGCAGTCTCAGTATCAACAACAGTTCCTCACAGAGCCTAAGCCGCTGGAGAAACCACAATCCTCCTTGTTTTTAGGGGAGCAGGTGATGAATTCAATGACAGATAATTGGTCCATGTCCAACAAGAAGAAGAGGAACTTTTCTCAGGGTGTGGCTGGAATCTGTTGTAGCCAAGGATGCACAAAGCATGACATTGGGCGATTGTGTTGAAGATGAGGCTTTAGTGTGAGTGATGTGACAGTAACAAGGATTTCATCATTTTGGAGTTTAGTAATAATTTTCTGTCCCCCATTAGTCCATCTGTCTCGCCTGAGATGTATTTTAATTTTATACTATGTAAAAGTCAACCTTTGCATTTGTGATTTGTATAGTTGCTCATACATGATGAGAAGAAAATGTATGACCCTTCATGACTGTTTAACCTGTTGACCTGTTTTTCTTGTGTGGAAGATGTCATAATATATATTTTTATGAATATGTAAGCAATTAAAAGCATTTAAATTCATGTCTTTTGATAGTGTTGATATATAGCACACTACACTACTGTCACTATGAGAAATATGCACAAGCTGCTTTTACAGCGTAGCATGGTCTGTTCATGGGTTTAAAACATGTGACATAAAGGTTACATATTGATGTAGATTTCAGAAATGTCTCCATAAAATATTTTATACTAATGATTATCATTAGGTGTGTGCATAAAACATCTTTGTGTAATGTGTGGCCTGAGTTTAGTGAATTCAGGGAGTATAATTTTAGGAACAGGATGTCTCTGTTATCAAAACAAGGCCTGAGACCCAAAACGACTAGACCAGACCCAGACCAGAGTCTCAGTCGGTCTCACCATATGACGTCATCGGACATTTTGATAAAAGTGTTGTTTTGTTAGCAGTCTGAGCAGGGACAGAGCTCCTGGATGTTCTCTCACGAGTCACGACATGTTCAGGCCTGGAGGGAGAGGCACTTTGGCTCAGCTCATTGTTAGGTTAGTTTGGGAATTAAAAGCTCAGAGTTTTGTATTAATATTTAATTGTAAAGATAATTAAATATTGTTCTATTTTTAACTCTTGAATGCTTGGTCTTATTTCTGCATCAAAATCTGACACACGTCCAGTAATTTTTTTGACATATATACAATCCATATACAAAATGAATACTTTCCGAATGCATAACATTTATTTTATTCACTTCCAATACTTAATGGACAAAAACAATATACAAAATATATGCAGTTTTCTATTATTATAGATCAATGGTTTCCCAACATTGAATGAGACATTTCTTTAAAGTACCCTGGACCTAAAAGGGTAACTTTTAAAAAAGCCACCTGAACACTGTTCTGGCAAAACAATAATGATTATTATTGGCACATTGTATCAATGCAAAAGTCAGACATGTGGGGCACCACGCAAACACCAACTAAAAGGATGTGAACAATTATCCCCATCATTAAAATTAAGATATTCATAGAGTAAAGAGGATGTGGGTGCAGAAGTGATACATTTCTGCAACTATCCAGTGCTAGGATAAAGCCAAGTGACATTTTGTTGCAGACACAAAAAAAGATTAAATGAAGTCAGATCAGACAGCACACATCTCATCTCTATTTAATACATACTTAAAAAATAAGTTAACATACCTTTGTCTAATCATCCTTAAATATCTGATAAATCTATATAGCCCTGCATAAATACATATTAGGGTTTATGTTACTGAAACATTGAGAAAATAAGGCAAGGCAAATAAGGCACTTTAACTCACTTTGTAATACTTAGTCTTAAAGTAGCTGTAAGATTTTCATGTCCAGTCATCTTTAAATGGCCCTAATGCAGCCTCGCGGATATTCAACTGTGGAAGACACCCCTCCAGGCCGGCCTCGCAGCCTCGGCCTATCGCAGCAACCGCCCATTTCCAACCAACCTCTGCCGGCCAAGCCAGCAGCTTAAAAGTGGAGAAACTCCCACTTTACGGCCTTCTCGAAGCCTTGCAACCGCCTCCCTCCTCCTCCTTTTCTCACCCTGCCTCAAGCATGCCTCCTTCCTGCTGCCTGAAGGCCACCACCAGTGCCTAGGTCCCGGGGGGATTGTGCACTCTCGCAGGAGCCTCGCTGACTGAACGCCGCACCGGGGCCTAGGGCGCCAAATCACCTTTCAATAAAAACATTCAAAATGCATTTTGTCTTCTCAAGTCTCTCCAGATTGAAATGTCAAAAGGTGATCCAGGTTGCCAGAACTCTGCGTGTCAAGTAATCTCACAGGAAACATGTGGCCACAGTACTAAAAAATTCTCATTATGATTCTCAACTCATTAATGACAAAACAAGGAATACAACGAGGATTTATATCAGGATACCTTTGTGGAAAATGTGTTGAAGAAAGGTCCTGTCTATTCTGTTTTTATGGTCCCAGCTGGATTCGTCTGCTTATCTGGCCACTTTCGGCCAGATTTTGACATATTGATCCTTTAACTCCTTGTAGCTTCAAACTTTTGACCTTGAATGCTTCTACTGGCCATCCAGTCACATTCACAGTCTTTAAGACTTAAGTCAGAATCAGAATCAGAATCAGAATCAGAATCATTTTTATTGCCACGTGAGTAACAAAGTTATCACTTGGAAATTGTCTTGGCAGAGAGCGTGCCACTTCGCCATTTGCGGCGCTGTGTGCAGCAAGAAACAGCAGAGAGCAATAACATTCAGGTAACAACAGACAGTTGGATAGAAAACATTGTGCTTTGTATAAACCACGGATTTTTTCCACGGGATGAGCACCTCCGGCCTGCCGGTCCAATGTGGCTGTCAGAGGGGGGCGGGGTCAGGGAGGGGGTGAGTCGGAAACACAGTAAGGAGGGGAGGGGAGGGAGAGATCAGAGGGAGGCGGGGGGAGCGGGATCCAAACTGGAAGACTGAAAGAGTGTGAAATTTTTGTAGAGAGACCAGATTTATTATGATGGCCTTGGCCCGAGGAATGTGAGATAAGAGAGGAGGGAAGACACAATAGGGAGAGAACACATCTCCTGTAACGAGGGACAATATTGTATGCAGTTTAGCAGTCAAAAACAGGCAGATATTCTATTAAATCCAATTAGACCAAATTACAGCGCCCTCAGACCCCGTACACAGGGGCAAATCCAAGCCGGGTCAGAGAGTTCAAGCCTGGCAGACAATGTAGATAGCAAGCCGTTCAGAAGCAGGAGCGGACTAAGACACGTCCTTGCACGACGAAGGAGGAAGGAGGACCCAGGCATTGTGGCTCTCTCTTACACTCCCCACATTGTTCATTAGAGTCTTAAACGATGGGCGCATTGCAGGGTCACTGCTCCAACACGTTGCCATCATTTTGTGAATCTGAAGGAGTGAGTAGAAAATGAACGTCAAACCATAATTTCTACAGAGGTGAACATAACATGCTTCCAAACCTCTTTAGGGCACTTGTCTGGAGCCGGCAGCCTGAAGTCCTTATTCAGCAGTTCTATCAAATGGTACACAATCATCTGGCCCTGTTTTTCTTTTCCAATCTCTTCCATGAATACCTGAGTCACATATAAAATGTACATTAAGATCAAATCCATGAAGGAAACAGGGAAATGGGGACTTTACCGTTGGAGGACTGCAGTTCTTGTCGCTGTAGGTAAAAAGCTCATAGAGAACTACTCCAAAGCTCCACACGTCTGACGCCACAGAAAACTTGCTTTGTGTGAGTGACTCCGGTGCATACCTAAGGACGAGATCATCATGCGGCCATTTCACTTTCAGCTAATGCAGTAATAATATAATAATAACAATAATATTAACAGGAGTCTGTCAATTAGAATCTATTGCTCACCAGAAAATGGGACTTTCTCCAGGTTCTCTGACGGTGTAGTAATCTTTGTCTTGTGGCAACATTTTTGTGAGACCAAAATCACCGATCTTTACTCTCATTTCACTTTCAACCAAAATATTTCTCGTTGCCAGATCTCGGTGAATGTACCGCTTCATGGCTAGGTAGTCCATACCCTGCAAATGTACAAGTCACGAACTTACGCTCAGACAATTATGGAATGTTTTAGTCCCAAAACCTGTTTTGTTGTTGTTTATGGTGACTAATATTAAAGTGATAGTCTGGAGTTTGTTAGAAAAAAGAGACAGAGGTGCATGATTTGAAAAAAACGACCCAAGCTCCTCCCCCTTCCTTTCTGATTGGTCTACGCCTACGTTTCCGTAACAATCAATCAACACATTTAAATGTTAATGAGAGAACACATTATACATATACATTATTAACACACATGCACAGAGGTTTTCAGAATTATTTGTTAACGTTTTCATGACAAAAATTATGTTTTAATGCACAAAAAAGGCGATTGCGGCAAACCCGGAAGTAGCTATTATCATTGATTGCACATTATAGAAACATCTGCAGAGGATCTGATTATGGATATATGTTCATATATAAATGATTATGGATATATGTTCATATATAAATGATTATGGATATATGTTCATATATAAATGATTATGGATATAGGTTCATATATAAATGATTATGGATATAGGTTCATATATAAATGATTATGGATATAGGTTCATATATAAATTATTATGGATATAGGTTCATATATACATAAGTTACTCATTGCGGATGTTCAGAATTCTTTGTTCAGTTTTCATGTAGTTTCAGAGCCTATAGAGGATTTATTCGGGGGCTCCGCGAAAACAAACAACTGAGCATCAGCGCCAATGATTGACAGAATTCATAAGACTAGACTATCCAGACTATCACTTTAATATTTTTCCATTTAGAACATAAAATATAAACATTGAAATTTACTATGAAAATCAAAATCAAACGCAGTAACAATGTTTGTACCTTGCAAATTTGAGAAGCGTAGTGCAGAAGTTTGTTGCCGTCGATGTGGTCTTTGTTTTTGATGAGGTAATCTCTCAGGCTTCCATAAGGAAGATATTCCATAATTAGTCTCAGGTTTCGTCGACCTAAAATAGATTTTGTGAATGATAATTAAAAGCAAAATATAATAAGTCATTTACAACATGAGTTGTTTCTACCTGCACTGTAGCAGACTCCTTTGTATTTGACGATATTCTCATGCTGGAGGGACTTGAGAATGTCAATTTCCCGCTCGAAGTCTCGGAGGTGTTCTGCCGTGCTGTGCTGCAGTTTCTTCACTGCCACCACTTCTCCGGTGCTGTCTTGTAACGGGTCGTATCGACACATCTCCACACTACCAAAATTTCCCTGGACAAAATCATTCAGACTAGTGTTAAAAAACCTAAAAACCCTGCATTGATCGATGAATTGTCCAACATTCAAGGGTTGATTTGTATTTTCTTTTTTTGTGTTTTGCTACGCTAGCTCAGTGAAGTAAAACAGCTCATGGAGGAACTTTTGCTCCAACTTGCTTTGTCTCTCATTCAGTAGCACAACCATTTGAGTCTACTTCTTCTAATCTATGGTTTTCCAACTACCCCGATCTTCTGATTACTCATACATACGTACTTATAATAAAATATGCACTAAACATATAATTAAACAAAATTCTCATTGCAAAGAAACCATTGAATCTCAAAGCTTCATGACTCAAACCAAATTGTGAGATGACTAACTGAGGTTGGATAAAGAGTGTGCAGCCCTTATACTGTAAATTATACAGTTAATTTGTATGGCGACAACTCTCTGCAACCACCCCATTCTACAACCATGTCGCAGCTTGCATCTAACAAAATAATAATTTGAATATTGTTTTATGATAAATATGTCCATTTTGTTGTCAGGTCTTCTGTTGGCTTGAACTAACTTTTCCCAACTGTTTCAGAAAAATGAGGTGTCTTTCTTCGAATTGGGCTGGTTCCCGATTGTCGTACGTCCAGGGAAAGCCAAATGTCCGCGTCCTATTGGGCACCATGTCACTCTCCACAAGCAGCTCATAGTCTGCAGACAAATGTGTTTCATATTTACATTTTCTCCCAATCTTGGCTATATCTGGTTCAATAATTCCTAGTTTTATAGCAAAAGTAACCTGGGGTAAAAAGGCTGTTGAGGTCTCTGATGACTGCCTTGAAGGATGGCCTATGTAATGGCTTGTAATCCATGCAATTATTAATGAGATTAGCCAGTTCTGTCCACTTTGGTGCTGGCAGTTGATGTCTGTCCTCATAAAATAGTTTTTTCTGCAAAACAAAACACCATTTGTATAAATCTGAAGTGAGAAGAAATAGTGCATTAGTTTCAAAGCTGCGGAACCAAACTTTCAGACCACATGCAGTAAAACTATGTCATAACAATCATTTTAATTCTTGACTTTTTCTAAAATAATAACAATCATGTATAATTTTACTTTCACTCCACAGTTGTGTGTGCACTTTCATTCAAAAAATTAAAAATTCAACCTTTGTTTATGGTTGTAAACATGACAAAGTGTGCAAAAGTTGAAGCTGCATTAACACATTTCAGAGGCACGGTAGTTCCCGGATTTAAAGGTACTCTGTGTAATTTATACAGTTGCTCCAAATGAAAGAAACATGTTAACCATAAACAAATGTGACTTTATTAAGAATATTTACCTCCACCATGTTTTTGAATTGTTGTCATAGACTTTCAGAATTTCAGCTATAAATGTCCATGAGAGCTGAGTACTCTCCATGTCAATGCAACTTCTTGAAATACATTGGTTGATAAGGGACAAAAAGAACGCGAGAATAGCGTTTTTGTTTCACAGGTGCTACTAATATCGTTGGAGGACCAGAGTTATGTAAAAGAACTACCCGAACAAGAATCTTTTCGAAAAAGATCTATGCAAAAATCTAGAAACCAGTCATAACGTGTCGCAAAACAAACTCACCGAAAGCCGTTAAAACAATAGGAGGCACTTTGCTGCAATTTGTATGAAACAGACTCACACGTGGACAATACGTAACTGTCTTCACACCAACAGTAACTGTCTTCACACCGACAGTAACTGTCTTCACACCGACAGTAACTGCCTTCACACCAACAGTAACTGTCTTCACACCGACAGTAACTGTCTTCACACCGGCAGTAACTGTCTTCACACCAACAGTAACTGTCTTCACACTGCTCCTTGGACCCACTCCCTACCCCTCTGCTCAAAACCTACTCCAAATTCATCAGTCCCACAATAACCAAAATTATCAATCTCTCCCTTGGTACTGGCACCATTCCACCCTCCCTCAAAACAGCTCTCATAAAACCATTACTTAAAAAACCCACTCTTGACCCTGTGCCCCTCTCCCATTACCGTCCTGTCTCAAACCTTCCATTCATTTCCAAAATCCTCAAAAGAGCAGTCTCCACTCAACTCCATAATCATCTCAAATCAAATAGTCTCTATGAAAAATTCCAATCTGGTTTCCGCCCCTCCCACAGCACAGAAACAGCGCTCATCAGAGTGACCAATGACCTTCTCATGGCCTCTGACTCCGGTTCCACTTCCATCCTCATTCTTCTCGACCTCACTGCTGCGTTCGACACCATTGACCATAACATCCTTTTACATCGTCTCCAGCACCACATTGGCCTCTCCCACACTGCCCTCCACTGGTTTCACTCCTACCTCACTGACCGAACCGAGCATGTGGTTCTGGGGGACGCTAAATCTCGCCCCCACTCTGTCACCTGTGGGGTCCCCCAGGGCTCCGTGCTCGGTCCCACCCTCTTCACCATGTACATGCTTCCCCTCGGGTGTGTCGTCAGCAGGCATGGAATTTCACTTCCATTGCTATGCTGACGACACACAACTTTATCTCAAAGTCACTCCATCCACCCCTCCCTCTGCATCTCTCTCCTGTCTTACCTCCTGCCTGGAGGAGATAGGGGCATGGATGAGGCAAAACTTCCTGCAGCTGAATGGCTCAAAAACAGAAGCCATTCAAACTGGTACTCCCCATCAACTTCACTCTTCTCCCATCACCTCAATCTCTCTCTTAGGCCACAGCATTCCCCTCTCTCCCTCTGTAACCAATCTCGGGGTCAAGTTTGACCCCCACCTTTCCTTCGGAAATCACATACATCACATCTGCAAAACTTCCTTCTTCCACCTCCGTAATATTTCAAAACTCCGCTCTTCTCTCTCTCTCCCGGCTGCAGAGAAGCTCGTCCATGCCTTTGTCTCCTCCAGGTTGGACTACTGCAACGCACTCCTCATCGGGATCCCTGCAGGAGCCTTCAAAAGCTCCAGTACGTACAAAACAGCGCGGCCAGGGTCCTGATGAGGGTGCGGAAGCATGAGCACATCACCCCCATCCTTCACACCCTCCACTGGCTCCTCGTTCACCTCCGTATAGAATACAAGATCCTCCTGCACACCCACCACTGTCTCCACGGTGATGCCCCCACCTCACTGACCTCCTCACTCCACACGCCTCAGGCAGAACCCGGTCAGGCCAACAGCACCGTCTGCTCCCGCCCAGGACACGGCTCAAGAAAATGGGGGACCGGGCCTTCGAGGCCGCTGCTCCCCGTCTGTGGAACGCCCTCCCGGACCACCTCAGGGCCCCACAGACGGTGGAAGCTTTTAAAAAGGGACTCAAAACCAATCTTTTTACTAAAGCGTACTGCTAATTTTTTTTATAGTCTTTTATCTGATTTTATGTGTTTGCTTTTATTTATGCTCCTGTTTGTAGCACTTTGAGATTTGGTGTAAAATATAAAGTGCATTATAAATAAAATGTATTATTATTATTATTATTATCTTCACACCAACAGTAACTGTCTTCACACCAACAGTAACTGTCTTCACACCAACAGTAACTGTCTTCACACCAACAGTAACTGTCTTCACACCAACAGTAACTGTCTTCACACCAACAGTAACTGCCTTCACACCAACAGTAACTGCCTTCACACCAACAGTAACTGTCTTCACACCAACAGTAACTGTCTTCACACCGACAGTAACTGTCTTCACACCAACAGTAACTGTCTTCACACCAACAGTAACTGTCTTCACACCGACAGTAACTGTCTTCACACCGACAGTAACTGTCTTCACACCGACAGTAACTGTCTTCACACCGACAGTAACTGTCTTCACACCGACAGTAACTGTCTTCACACCGACAGTAACTGTCTTCACACCGACAGTAACTGTCTTCACACCAACAGTAACTGTCTTCACACCGACAGTAACTGTCTTCACACCGACAGTAACTGTCTTCACACCGACAGTAACTGTCTTCACACCGACAGTAACTGTCTTCACACCAACAGTAATGAGAACGAGGCAGAATCTACAACACGGTCTCAGGATGTTCTGACCCGCTCTGAGCGCAGTCCACAGGTTTCAGCCAAACCTATTCTGGGGACAAGCCTCAAATATGCAAAACACACAGAATCCTCACAAAACAATTTGCCAGAATACTGCAGCGTGAGTTTTCTTACGGTGGTGATGTAGATGCGGCGCTGTGGTGAAAGCTAATAATAATCTGAGCTTTTAGCCACAGTTCGGCCGTGGCTATGTATGTATGCCCATGTCCAAGACAATGTCCTTCTCTGATCCTCTGATCATGGTAGTTCTAAGCTCCCACAGACGTCCCATTCCTCCACGCATCTCTGCTCTTCACACTAAGTTTGTAAAACCCCAGAGCCACTGTGCAGTCCCTTGGTGAGAGTGCTGCGAAGGATAATGTGTTGCAGACTGTTTACATTTCAGCACTACAGAGTCAAGTGACCTAGAAGTATGGAGAGATCCGGTCTTATCAAACTGAAGGATAATTTAATTTCCTTGGCCCCGGTTCGAAAGACCGGGAGTTGGGGACCACTCCCGACATATTATCCTTGGCAGCACTCACACCAAGAGACTGCAACACATGGTCTCAACGCTAGATGGGAGTGAAAACTACACAGTGTACCTTTAAAGCAGTTTGATTCTTCTACTAGTTTTCATATTCATGTACAGTATATTTGGCCTCTGTCACATCTTGCATTCAGCTTTTTCATACAAAAATGTGACAAAGGACCACCCTCACTCAGCCAGTCAGCTCTCGGCCTATAGTGTCAAGTATGTTCTCTATAAAGATGAAGACGGCATGTTGTGGTCTTGGTTCACAACGTTTTACACGACTCTTCTGTTGAAAAAACTACGTGTATCATTTATAAATGAAAACGTTAGGTACCACAGCTTTAAACAACAGATTGATGAAAGACCTTTAAGCTGTCAAGGGTGCTAAGGGGTTTGTCCCCACCACTGCATATTTCCCATATAGTCGTGCCAAATGCCCACTTGTCTGTTGCCAAACTGAGATTCTGGGGGTTTTCAATGCATTCAGGAGGAACCCATGGGATGCGTTCAACTAAAACTAGAAATAAAAAAAACACATATATATTTTTAAAACATACTATATATACAGTACATATACAATACAGACTGTCTTTATATTGTCTTTCTAACCTTCTTTGGCCAGAACTGTGAGGCTGATGCCAGGGTCAGACAGCTTTATGAAAGGGAAACTCCCCGTTTTCCGATCATCTTCTCGGATCAAGAGGACGTTTTTTGCACACACGTTTCCATGTATGAGGCTCTTGTTCTCCTGTGAACGTATATTAAAGAAACAAACATACAAATACAGTAGATGCCAGATTTATTATTCGAAATGAAGTTGCAGGTAATTTGCATCCCAGTTAAAAAATCTCAACCTTCACAGACAATGCATTCTGGGATATTGCATATTTGGCCCATTATGGTAAAAAGAGCTGACCCAGGGAAAAACCCAGAGGAGATATAATCTAGCATGTACTGTATCTACAAATGTAAAAACTGTGTGCAGCTATTCATTATGTTGAGTGGAATTTCCTGGTTTGTGTTGTTCAGCTCAACTAAATCCAGCAGTGGTACTTCTGAGTTAACCTTGCCTGCAAGCTGAATTCTCGCGGTATTTGTGAGTTCACAAACACTCGAGAATACATCTTGTACCGCTCCCGCTTACACTTTTCGAGTCGAACCACTGGGTGTGCGAGCCAATCACGCGCCAGTCTGGGGGTTTAGGGCGGGATATCCGGGTTTGACGAAAGCAAGAAGTGCCGGGCCGAAGCAAAACAAACATGGCTACGCAGGAGGACGGACGCAAAGTCAGTTTTAGCAGAATCTCCAATTTCTTTTTTGAAAGATGAACAGCGAGAGGCGCTTTGTACATTTCTGGACGGCAACCTTGGTAGGCGGGCACACAGCGTCACTTCGCCCAATCAGCTTCAAGTATTCTGCTGCTTACCCCTCCTTTCCCCGAAAGGATTCTCCGGGAGAAATCCCAGATTGATATCGCGGAGAACGCGTTAGAGTTCTACACAATCATCAATCTGGCTTTTGCCAGGTTACTTCTGAGTTAAACATTGTAAAAAAATAAAATAAAAATCTATATTCTATAAAAGTAATAATTTGTTCAAAATGGCTGCATAATGTGGAAAAGGTAAAAACGTTGTACCAGATAATGCATGGCCCAAGCCAGCTGTTTGGCCACTTCAAGCTTCCAGGTAATATTAACACTGCTTTTATTCTTTTTCAAGTAGATATCCAACGAGCCGAACTTTCCGTACTCCTGCACCATCATGTCTGACAAAAGAGGAAACACGTTACTTACTAATATAATGTTGTGTAATTCAAACATTGTATAAGCTGATAATTGTTTTTGTAAAGGCCTTTGGTGAGGACATAGTTCATGAAAAACAGATGGTATTTCCCTGGCTAAACCAAAGTTATAACATTAGATTTGTGTGCATGGAAAAGCACTCATTACACATAACAAATGATCTTTTCATGAATTTGTTTTTGGTTTTCCACATAATTAAATACAGTACACAAAACGAATGTGATGTAAGATAAGATAAAACGTTATTGATTAATGTTAAAGTCCATACAAAAAACACAAGTGAACCACAATGTACATGTTCTCTCTAATTACATGCTGTTAATTATATTGGAGTGGAATTTCACGGTTTTCTACACATTATTTTTTCAAAGCCCACTACACTAAAATAGAACAAGAATGGATTTGCCTCGAGGGTGTAATCATGCTTGAGGACCGGAAGCATGTAAAAGGTTGGTGACCCCTTTCCTCTTTCACCTGCTCGTGTGAGGGACTCTTCTGATTTAGTTGCTTTAAGTAAAGCAAAACAGATACCTGATAATGTTTAATTATTAATTATATTTTGCACTTGGGGCACTCATATTCTGCCAACACCACAAATGATCTCAAAACCTACAATAGTGGCTCAGTTGGTAGAGCATTGGCCTCTGAACCTGAAGGGTTTGATCCCACCGAGATCTCCATTGACTCCCACTGATGTCTGCTGTCATTGTGTCCTTGGGCAAGACTGAAAGATCAAGGCTGTGTCTGACAGAGGACTCCCCACCTGCAGGAGCATCAGCGAGGGACTGGTGCTCTGTGAATTGGGTGCAGCTCTGACTGATTTTGTTAGGTCATAAAATTCATGGATTCACAATTTTTAGTGCTGTATGCAAAATGTCTGACCAGAGTAACATGCAACTGTGTTCCCCCATTTTCTAAACAAAAAAAACAAAACCAATCAGTGCAACACAAAGTTGTTCTCATCCTGCAGTGTACGATATTAGTAATACAGTATTCTGAATACATCATAACTAGTACTCCTTTAAGCAAGGGAGAAAGACCTTAAAAAACACTTAATTATTGTATTTTTATTTCACTTTTAAGAGTGTGTAGAAAACCTACTCTCGTCCCCACAAACGCAGACACCGTAGATGAGGAGAAGATGTTTATGGGACAACTGGCTCATCATGCTGGCGGCTTCGTAGAATGACTAAGACAAACAACAAATCCACATTGGCCATACACTTATTATTATCATTATTATTATTGTTACTACGCACTTATTATCTTACTTTAAGCTCAACAAACCTCTGACAAGTTGTGTTGAGCCTTGTCCAGGATTTTAATTACAACATCTAATTTATGAACTTCTCCATAGTCACCCAGCTCCTTCCGAACGCCACAGAAAATCTTTGTGAATGTCCCTTGGCCCAAGCTCTTGGTCTGGGGGAGGAAGATGAAGAGGAAGATGAAGAGGAAGATGAAGAGGTCAGTGTGGGAGAGGGGAACCGTCGCTATGTCCAATACTTCACACGCCATTAAAGATAATTAGTGGAAAACCAATTCAATGGCAGTTTGGGTATGGATTATAACATGGCTTTTTCTGCTTTTAGCATTAACCCCTCATTAACGTAATAACATAACATTACAACTCATGTTACATTCATTTTAAATCTTGGGTTAATGTCATTCATTAGAGTAAAGTCTTATAAATCTAAATGTATATAAACAGACTGCGTTTGCGTACAATGACAAGGTCCTCCCGCCGTATCTTGTGAAAGACCATCTGGCTGATGTTGTGTTTCTGCAGCAGTGGAGAAAGTGGTAAATCAACTCCTTGGTTGTTTCTGCAAACCAGTAAATTGGACTTGTCTGTAAAAAAGAAAGATACTTAGAATATTATGCAGATTCAATAATATTCTATGTACAATTAAGGTCCAACGTTTGGTGCCAGGATGTTACTGCCTGTGATCGATACAAATATCTTACTCACATTTTACTGATGCAAAAACCACCTGCTGGGATTGAACTATTGCATGCTAATTTAAATAATACATATGGTCCCTTTAAATTTAGAGTTATATCCAAATGTAGAGGATTTATGAATACCATCGAGAACAGATCTTTATAAGTATAAAACTATTATTACATTGACAAAAATGTAGCTACAGTGGTATGCAAAAGTTTGGGAACCCCTACCCATTGATATGATTTTCCTTTAGAAATCATTGGTGGTGAAATAAAGTTTGTATCATTTACAGAAGGTGTGCAAGAATTATTTAAACCAAATTAGACATCTGCATAAATCAAGGAACTGTTTTTATTGATTTTAATACCTTTAGCACTAATCATTGGAACTCAAAATTGCTTTGTAACCTCAGTGACCCTTGACCTCCATACATAGGTGAATCCAATCATGAGACATGGTGTTTAAGTAGGCCATTTGTTTCCCTATCTTCTCTGAAGAGTAGCAACATGGGAGCCTAAAAATAACTCTCAAATGGCCTGAAAACAAAGATTGTTCAACATCATGGTTTAGAGGAAGTAGTAAGTAAGTAATCTTTATTTATATACCGCCTTTTCACTGCACATCGGAGTCTCAAAGCGGTTTACAATTGTTATTTTAATAATAATAATAATGCATCGGTTTTATATAGCGCTTTTCTGGACACTCAAAGACGCTTCACATGTGTCATTATTCATTCACTCCATACACGGTGGTGATAAGCTACTGCTGTAGCCACAGCTGCCCTGGGGCACACTGACAGAAGCGAGGCAACCAGTATGCGCCATCGGCCCCTCCGACCACCACCAACCATTCACACACCAGACTCATTCTAGGCAATGGGGGTGAAGTGTCTTGCCTAAGGACACAACGGCAGTTTGGCACTTTACAGCCGCAGCCGCCCCACTGTGGCTGATGTTCCCAGAGGTTAAGTGTCTTGCCAAGGACACAACGACAGTAGTCAGAGGGAGTCGATGGTGAAAGTCTTGAGCGGGGCTTGAACCCACGACCTTCTGGCTCAAAGGCCAAAGCTCTACCAACTGAGCTACTGTCGCCTTTTTTTTTGGGAGCGGGGCCAGTACAGGAGGCACATGCCAGACCTATTGTACATATTTTTAGTGGTAGGGGAAACCGGAGCACCCGGAGGAAACCTACGCAGACACGGGGAGAACATGCAAACTCCACTCAGAAAGGGCCTGGTCCAACCGGGATTCGAACCCAGGACCTTCTTGCTGAGGCGAGAGTGCTATCCACTCAGCCACCATGCTGCTCAACATTGAATATTTTGACACTGAATTTTAAAACATTGAATTTGTTTACACTGAATACTTTTTGTTACAGTTTATAGCAAAAAAAAGTGTTGATAATAAAAACACAAAATAACCATGAGATAAACTGTCTGTATTTGGGTCATTCCTGGCTCAAGTGTCCCTTATAAAAATCCTCCAGGATAATAATCATAAAGTCCGGGTATAAACGCTCCATACACAGTACTTGCTCTGTGAGTGCACGCTGAGCCTCGCACTTCTCTGCACACGCCACAAACAGCCACTTGAGGCTAAAGCATATTTGGACAAGCCAGCCTTATTTTGGGAAACAAGTGCTGTGGACTGATGAAAATAAAATCATCAGTCAAGGAATGTTGTTAAAGATGTACATAATATCTTTAACGGTGCCACGGTGGCTGAGTGGATAGCACTCTCGCCTCTCAGCAAGAAGGTCCTGGGTTCGAATCCCGGTCGGACCAGGGCCTTTCTGAGTGGAGTTTGCATGTTCTCCCCGTGTCTGCGTAGGTTTCCTCCGGGTGCTCCGGTTTCCCCTACCACTAAAAATATGTCCAATAGTTCTGGCATGCGCCTCCTGTACTGGCCCCGCTCCCATCTCTGTGTGGAGTGAGAGACAAATGCCCAAAAATTAACAATTGTAAACCGCTTTGAGACTCAGATCTGCAGTGAAAAGGCGGTATATAAATAAAGATTACTACTACTACTACTATTACTAATATAGAGTTATTTTTTCTTTTTTCAGAAATTAAATTTATGCACATGCCTAATTTGGTTTAAACAATTCTTGTACACTTTCTCATGAGATCTTTAACTGAAATGTAAACTTTTTCATCCCACTGTATAAAACTGTCCTCAGTAACAAACTTCATGAATGTATTGTTATTATCTGAAAGTAATGTCTTCTGAAGAACGATGAGACTTGTGTGGCTCCGGCCTGACCTCTGGGGCTCGGAGTACAACACTTGGTGAGCTGAAACGTGTATCCGTCTGTGCGCAGCGCCTCCTTCTGGTAACAGTTTATAAGCTCCTTCAGAGATCCAAAGCTTCTCTTGGCTCCACTCAGAATATACTCTCCAGCTTCTGTCTTCACAATCTGGCAATGTTTATACTCCACTAGTGATTCGTACTGAAACATAAACAATAAGCATCAATACATATTCTAAATGTTTTTAGTTTTTTTTAATATAGTAAATTAATAAAGCACTTGCTTGACTATAAGCCGCTACTAAAGATTACTTCCAAATGCAATCTTTCTGCTTTGTTTTTCTACATCTGCTTTTGGTTAAGTGATACATTACAACATGAAAACCTGCAGCTTATATTCAACTGCAACCTATAATTATAATGAATACTTTTTCATAGCTGCAGTAGCTTATATATAGATAACTTAGTGAAGTGCTCACCCCAACCACAAAGGACATGAAGAACATATTGTAATCTCTGGGACTACAACGCAGGATGTAAAGGCCTTGGTTGTTCCCACTTTGACGTAGTTTATTGATTGTGAATTCCATTCTTTAAAACAAAAACAGGTGAATTTGACAGTGTAATATTTTGGCTTGTGATGTAATTTTGCTGAAAGTTTCTTACGATACAGGGCCGTGACAGTAGCTTTGAATGCATTCAAAAAGCCTGGGGGGAGCCACCTCTTTGCACAGATAATGATGAGCATCTGATACCAGCCTGTAATATCCATCTACTAATGAAACAAACGAGAGGGCCTCTGCCTGCGAGAGAAACTCTAACTCCTAAGGCACAACATTGACAAAAAATAACTCATTTGTGATGGTGAAACCAGTAAAAAGTGCCAAGTTCATACAAGTGTCTGGCCGTCCTGTCTGGTTAGAGTGACAATGCGACTTTCTGCAGAGCTTTCCTTATTGGCCTGTTTGATACTGACATGAATGACCTCTGGAAAGTCACAGTATGTCTGCAGTTCCTGTGGAACACAAGTCAAATGCTCTTGTGAAAAGATGTGAGGAAAAGACAATAGCTCCATCTAAAGGTCAAAGTTAGTAACTGTGTTGTATATGTGGTCATATCCATCCAACTAGTTACTCTCTCGAAACATTTTGGTTCTAATATTAGTTTTCCTGTGCATGTCTGTGTGGCCTCTGTCACATTTAGATCAGATTTTAAACAGAGACCCTTGGTTAAACACAAAGGTACTTTTTTTATCAAGGATTTGTGTGCGTGCAAATATTATCAACACATAATAATTGGAGCAAACGGATTTTTTACTTTACACAAGCATTTTAGCACATGATAAATATAGCCTTATGACAACATGAAAGCTGTGGATTCAGTTTAACCACTTAATACATGGATGCGTTCTACAGGTACAACTGGAGCTACTAACCCTGGATCATTCTTTTTTTATTAGCCAATTGATAAAATAGTAGAATCACATTTCTGGAAATGTTCATGATTCAACCTGTACCAGTTTGAACGAACTACACTCACAAAAATTTGAGAGAAAAAAACCTTTCAAAGGTCAATAGGGTTCTGTCTGGTGCTTTATTTTACAGGTTCCTACATATCATTTCCAGCGAAATGTTCCTAAGCTGTGAAAGAGGAATTGTTAAAACCTCAAATGTGCTTGTCAAATAGATGCTTTCTCCAGGAAAAAAATCGACCGACTTTGGGGTTTAATCTTATTTTCTGGGCAGTGATTTATTTATTTGTGCATAAAATGTTTCTCACACAAATTTAAGTTTTTTTCTTGTTTAATTTCTAGGTGTTTTAGGCGAAAATGGTCAATGCAGTAAGGAGTTAAAATCACAATAAAGAGGATTATTGTTGCTGTTCTTGAGTAGAGTTTTCCACTCACAGTCGGACAGCTGGAGCCTGGCGATTGCTTGGAGCATTGAATGCCGGAGTTGCCGGAGATGGCGATGGTGACGGAGCAGGAGGAGGCGTCTGAGGCCGTGAAGGACTCTGTGTAGAGTGAGGGCAGCAGCATCTCCAGACTCATCAGGTATTTGAGTTTCAGGTTACACAGTGTGGCTTTACTGTCGGCGAACTGCTGGATGAACCTGCAGAAGCGATACCGGATCCTTTTCCGAATAAAGATATTGTACTTCTGGATGAGGTCTTTCATAGAGCGCGGGAGGAAAGACTTGTAGCTAGGGATGCAAAAGATGGATTATGCAGGTTGCAATATAATCATATGGATAAATACATTAATGGTTGAGAATTTGATAATATAAAGAGACTCGTGTTACGTGGCAAATACAAAGGAAAGACTCAAAATTGAGGAATGTGAACGCCCTGTTTTGCAAAAGAAGCATAGTTTATTAGTTTAAATATTTTAAACTATTAATAATGAATAATTAGTCATTTGCTCCCTCTTTTATTTGAGCTCGTAACGCTAGTTTATGGTGCCGTCTGGGGCACAGGTGTATGCACATGAGTCTGTATGTGAGAGAGGAGCTAACTGCCATAACTGCAACAGCACAGTAAAATTAAATGATTTAATAATCAAATGAATGTCCAAGGTGAAAAAAAAAAAAAAAAGCCAAAACCTCACATTGGAACCGGGGGAATAAATACTACGAACAATGGACCATTATTTTCCACAGTGTAGGAGAGGAATTTGTTTAATTGTCAGAATTGCTCAATTGTGACATAGCTAATGTGAAAAGTCAGATAAAAATGGGTCACAGCAATTCAATGTTTGTGCATAACCTCAAACAAAGTTTAAGCAGTGAATTTGAACAACAGCAAAGGACATTTTGTTTAGTTTAGTTTTGTTTGGTACAAACAGTGCTGCTTCATTTCACACCAAAACCATCGAGATACTAGCCTGGCCTTAGCCACCCGTACACTCCGCTCAATCATCATGTCCTAACGTCTGGGTCTGGTCCCTGGGTTAGTGATTACAATCGGTTGAATTTCGACCGACCAATCAGCGAGCACGGAAGGAGAGTGTTGTAGTTAGTTGTGACGTCAAGAGTTTGGTTGTAGTTTGACAATGGCAAAAAATGCGATAGTAAAGTAATCCGGTCTGGTTCTATCAAGAAACTGAAGCTGGAGCAAGAGGAATGTTTAGCAAATGTAATCGCAAGAAAAAATTGTGGCGCTACTCCCCACGGGCTCCGTTAGCGGCAAAGGAGATGGCTAAAGCTAGGCTAAAGGCTAAATGCTAACGACTCACTCGGGCGCATTACATACGTCACGGTAAACTCAGATCCAATCGTTTCAATCTGCAAATGGAGTTAACCCCTCCCACCTGTTCACGAAGTCAATGGAGCACCTCCAGACCTTAGTACCAAATGTAAAGTGTACTATGGTGTGGTACGACCAGGCTAGCTACATAGTAACAGGCAACCCAAATAAGAAACTCATTCTCCTGTGATTGTATAACCTGCTTAATTTAAATTTTAATTATTACATTTTATTTCTTTAACTTTCTCTCTTTTTTTTCTTCTCTCATACACAATATTCCTAAACTACAGGAGTCTCATCCCAAAACAGAACATCATCACATGCCAGGTCCATATGAAACTGGAGTGATGACGGAACATTGAACTGGAAGAGAATTTAAAGAGCGACTAAACACCAAATCAATTTTTTCAACTCATAAACTGCATAAATGTGTTTATTGTAGTGCTGTCTACATATCCTGGTCATTTTTTTGATATTTTAGTTCAAATTAGATAAAATATCACTTTTGAGCCAAAAAACGTCTGTGTGGCGCCCTCTCAACCTTTTTGGTGGTACTACATTTGAATTTGGTTCTGGCCTCTCCATTGGCTCTGAAGTCCTCTTTGACATCAGTTGTTTTGTGTGACGTCAGTCTGTCAGAGCCAGTGATATAAACCCATTCAACTCTCACACACGCCCCAGCTGCAGTTTGGAGTATTCTGGCGCCATCTAGTGGATTAAAATTAAATTACATGAGTCATTCTGAGATTATTGAGTGTGATTAGGTTCAGGTGTGTAGCTTTACAATTATCTTAGTGTGTAAACAAGGGTGGAATGAGACTTTCTGGTCTGTAAACTATTGCTTTAAGCAGCAATGACAACTGTCTGCTTTTTTTTTAATGAGACAAGTGAGCTGTCAATCACAGCCCAGACCACGCCCAGCTCTAAGCCCCCCTTCTTGTCCCTTGGTCCTCCAGGCAACGCCCTTTTAAAAGAAACTTTTCAAATGTTAATGTGGGCGGAGTCAGGCTGGGCACAGGTGTTTAGTCGCTCTTTAAGTAAGTTCTCAAAAAAGACATTTAGCCACAATAGTCAGTATTTAATGTTTGTATAGTCGGTTTGTTTTGACCCCCTCAGTTCCATGAGATCCACGTTTACCTGTTGCAGTTGTAGACGTGCACAGGTGATAGTCCGCTCTCTTTAGCGAGTCTCATCATGTCCAGCACAGCCATCCCCAGACACTCCTCCTGCGCCTCGTGGCTCATGGGCACATTCACCCGTCCACTCAGGAAGTCACACCGCCACTGCGCACGGCCAAGAATATGAAGCAAAGTCACTCATATGTCAAACTATTAGAAGAGGAACATTTATTTGGATAGCACATTTTATACAACTAATTATAACTGGCAACAACAGGTGAGATAATCCACCAAAAACAGGAACTATAGAAATAGAAAAATTATATTAATATTTCTGTGTGTTCTGTTTGATTTGTTCACAACATTTTACTTTTGTGCTCAAATAACATGCATTTTTAATACATGGGGAAAATTTAGGTATCAGAGCTTTAATTTTGGTTGCACTTCGGCAAGAGACATGGGAGATACACAGGGGAGACACTTCCATGGTTCTGTCTGCGCGTCTAAGTTTCTGTCTGCGCGTCTAAGGTTCCGTCCACTCGTCTAAGGTTCCGTCTGCGCGTCTAAGGTTCCGTCCACTCGTCTAAGGTTCTGTCTGCGCGTCTAAGGTTCCGTCCGCGCGTCTAAAGTTCCGTCTGCGCGTCTAAGGTTCTGTCTGCGCGTCTAAGGTTCCGTCCGCGCGTCTAAAGTTCCGTCTGCGCGTCTAAGGTTCCGTCTGCGCGTCTAAGGTTCTGTCTGCGCGTCTAAGGTTCCGTCCGCTCGTCTAAGGTTCCGTCTGCGCGTCTAAGGTTCCGTCCACTCGTCTAAGGTTCTGTCTGCTCGTCTAAGGTTCTGTCTGCTCGTCTAAGGTTCCGTCTGCGCGTCTAAGGTTCCGTCCACTCGTCTAAGGTTCCGTCTGCGCGTCTAAGGTTCCGTCCACTCGTCTAAGGTTCTGTCTGCTCGTCTAAGGTTCTGTCTTCTCGTCTAAGGTTCCGTCTGCGCGTCTAAGGTTCCGTCCACTCGTCTAAAGTTCCGTCCGCGCGTCTAAAGTTCCGTCTGCGCGTCTAAGGTTCCGTCTGCGCGTCTAAGGTTCCGTCTGCGCGTCTAAGGTTCCGTCCGCGCGTCTAAAGTTCCGTCCGCGCGTCTAAAGTTCCGTCTGCGCGTCTAAGGTTCCGTCCACTCGTCTAAGGTTCCGTCTGCGCGTCTAAGGTTCCGTCCACTCGTCTAAGGTTCCGTCCGCGCGTCTAAAGTTCCGTCCGCGCGTCTAAAGTTCCGTCTGCGCGTCTAAGGTTCCGTCTGCGCGTCTAAGGTTCCGTCTGCGCGTCTAAGGTTCTGTCTGCTCGTCTAAGGTTCTGTCTGCTCGTCTAAGGTTCTGTCTGCGCGTCTAAGGTTCCGTCCACTCGTCTAAGGTTCCGTCTGCGCGTCTAAGGTTCTGTCTGCTCGTCTAAGGTTCTGTCTGCGCGTCTAAGGTTCCGTCTGGGCGTCTAAGGTTCCGTCCGCTCGTCTAAGGTTCCGTCTGGGCGTCTAAGGTTCCGTCCACTCGTCTAAGGTTCCGTCTGCGCGTCTAAGGTTCCGTCCACTCGTCTAAGGTTCCGTCTGCGCGTCTAAGGTTCCGTCCGCGCGTCTAAAGTTCCGTCCGCGCGTCTAAAGTTCCGTCTGCGCGTCTAAGGTTCCGTCTGCGCGTCTAAGGTTCCGTCTGCGCGTCTAAGGTTCTGTCTGCTCGTCTAAGGTTCTGTCTGCTCGTCTAAGGTTCTGTCTGCGCGTCTAAGGTTCCGTCCACTCGTCTAAGGTTCCGTCTGCGCGTCTAAGGTTCTGTCTGCTCGTCTAAGGTTCTGTCTGCGCGTCTAAGGTTCCGTCTGCGCGTCTAAGGTTCCGTCCGCTTGTCTAAGGTTCCGTCTGGGCGTCTAAGGTTCCGTCCGCGCGTCTAAAGTTCCGTCCGCGCGTCTAAAGTTCCGTCTGCGCGTCTAAGGTTCCGTCCGCTCGTCTAAGGTTCCGTCTGGGCGTCTAAGGTTCCGTCCGCGCGTCTAAAGTTCCGTCCGCGCGTCTAAAGTTCCGTCCGCGCGTCTAAGGTTCCGTCCGCGCGTCTAAAGTTCCGTCCGCGCGTCTAAAGTTCCGTCTGCTCGTCTAAGGTTCCGTCCACTCGTCTAAGATTCCGTCTGCGCGTCTAAGGTTCCGTCTGCGCGTCTAAGGTTCCGTCCACTCGTCTAAGGTTCCGTCTGCGCGTCTAAGGTTCCGTCCACTCGTCTAAGGTTCTGTCTGCTCGTCTAAGGTTCTGTCTGCTCGTCTAAGGTTCCGTCCGCGCGTCTAAGGTTCCGTCCACTCGTCTAAAGTTCCGTCCGCGCGTCTAAAGTTCCGTCTGCGCGTCTAAGGTTCCGTCTGCGCGTCTAAGGTTCCGTCCGCGCGTCTAAAGTTCCGTCCGCGCGTCTAAAGTTCCGTCTACGCGTCTAAGGTTCCGTCCACTCGTCTAAGGTTCCGTCTGCGCGTCTAAGGTTCCGTCCGCGCGTCTAAAGTTCCGTCCGCGCGTCTAAAGTTCCGTCTGCGCGTCTAAGGTTCCGTCTGCGCGTCTAAGGTTCCGTCTGCGCGTCTAAGGTTCTGTCTGCTCGTCTAAGGTTCTGTCTGCGCGTCTAAGGTTCCGTCCACTCGTCTAAGGTTCCGTCTGCGCGTCTAAGGTTCTGTCTGCTCGTCTAAGGTTCCGTCTGCGCGTCTAAGGTTCCGTCTGCGCGTCTAAGGTTCCGTCCGCTCGTCTAAGGTTCCGTCTGCGCGTCTAAGGTTCCGTCCGCGCGTCTAAAGTTCCGTCCGCGCGTCTAAAGTTCCGTCCGCGCGTCTAAGGTTCCGTCCGCGCGTCTAAAGTTCCGTCCGCGCGTCTAAGGTTCCGTCCGCGCGTCTAAAGTTCCGTCCGCGCGTCTAAAGTTCCGTCTGCGCGTCTAAGGTTCCGTCTGCGCGTCTAAGGTTCCGTCTGCTCGTCTAAGGTTCCGTCCGCGCGTCTAAAGATTCCGTCTGCGCGTCTAAGGTTCCGTCTGCGCGTCTAAGGTTCCGTCCACGCGTCTAAGGTTCCGTCTGCGCGTCTAAGGTTCCGTCCGCGCGTCTAAAGTTCCGTCCGCGCGTCTAAGGTTCTGTCCGCGCGTCTAAAGTTCCGTCTGCGCGTCTAAGGTTCCGTCCGCTCGTCTAAGGTTCCGTCTGCGCGTCTAAGGTTCTGTCTGCGCGTCTAAGGTTCCGTCCGCGCGTCTAAGGTTCCGTCTGCGCGTCTAAGGTTCCGTCGCTCGTCTAAGGTTCCGTCTGCGCGTCTAAGGTTCCGTCCACTCGTCTAAGGTTCCGTCTGCGCGTCTAAGCCGTCTGTCTAAGGTTCCGTCTGCGCGTCTAAGGTTCCGTCCCGTCTAAGGTTCCGTCCGCTCGTCTAAGGTTCGTCTGCGCGTCTAAGGTTCCGTCCACTCGTCTAAGGTTCTGTCTGCTCGTCTAAGGTTCTGTCTGCTCGTCTAAGGTTCCGTCTGCGCGTCTAAGGTTCCGTCCGCGTCTAAAGTTCCGTCCGCGCGTCTAAAGTTCCGTCTGCGCGTCTAGTTCCGTTGGCGTCTAAGGTTCCGTCTGCGCGTCTAAGGTTCCGTCTGCGCGTCTAAGGTTCCGTCCGCGCGTCTAAGGTTCCGTCTGCGCGTCTAAGGTTCCGTCCACTCGTCTAAGGTTCCGTCTGCGCGTCTAAGGTTCCGTCCACTCGTCTAAGGTTCCGTCTGCGCGTCTAAGGTTCCGTCTGCGCGTCTAAGGTTCCGTCTGCGGTCTAAGGTTCCGTCTGCGCGTCTAAGGTTCCGTCTGCGCGTCTAAGGTTCCGTCTGCTCGTCTAAGGTTCCGTCTGCGCGTCTAAGGTTCCGTCTGCGCGTCTAAGGTTCCGTCCTCGTCTAAGGTTCCGTCTGCGCGTCTAAGGTTCCGTCTGCGCGTCTAAGGTTCTGTCTGCGCGTCTAAGGTTCCGTCTGCGCGTCTAAGGTTCCGTCTGCGCGTCTAAGGTTCCGTCTGCCGTCTAAGGTTCCGTCGCTCGTCTAAGGTTCCGTCTGCGCGTCTAAGGTTCCGTCCACTCGTCTAAGGTTCCGTCTGCGCGTCTAAGGTTCCGTCTGCGCGTCTAAGGTTCCGTCTGCGCGCGTCTAAGGTTCCGTCTGCGCGTCTAAGTTCCGTCCGCTAGTTCCTGCGTCTAAAGGTTCCGTCTGCGCGTCTAAGGTTCCGTCTGCGCGTCTAAGGTTCCGTCTGCGCGTCTAAGGTTCGTCTGCTCGTCTAAGGTTCTGTCTGCTCGTCTAAGGTTCCGTCTGCGCGTCTAAGGTTCCGTCTGCTCGTCTAAGGTTCCGTCTGCGCGTCTAAGGTTCTGTCTGCTCGTCTAAGGTTCTGTCTGCGCGTCTAAGGTTCCGTCTGCGCGTCTAAGGTTCCGTCTGCGCGTCTAAGGTTCCGTCTGCGCGTCTAAGGTCCGTCCGCGCGTCGTCTAAGGTTCTGTCTGCGCGTCTAAGGTTCCGTCTGCGCGTCTAAGGTTCCGTCTGCTCGTCTAAGGTTCCGTCTGCCGTCTAAGGTTCCGTCTGCTCGTCTAAGGTTCCGTCCGCGCGTCTAAGGTTCCGTCTGCGCGTCTAAGGTTCCGTCCGCGCGTCTAAGGTTCCGTCCGCGCGTCTAAGGTTCCGTCTCCGCGTCTAAGGTTCTGTCTGCTCGTCTAAGGTTCTGTCTGCTAAGGTTCCGTCTGCTCGTCTAAGGTTCCGTCTGCGCGTCTAAGGTTCTGTCTGCTCGTCTAAGGTTCTGTCTGCTCGTCTAAGGTTCTGTCTGCGCGTCTAAGGTTCTGTCCGCTCGTCTAAGGTTCTGTCTGCTCGTCTAAGGTTCTGTCTGCTCGTCTAAGGTTCCTGTCTGCGCGTCTAAGGTTCCGTCTGCTCGTCTAAGGTTCCGTCTGCTCGTCTAAGGTTCCGTCTGCGCGTCTAAGGTTCCGTCCGCGTCTAAAGTTCCGTCCGCGCGTCTAAGGTTCCGTCGCGCGTCTAAGTTCCGTCTGCGCGTCTAAGGTTCCGTCTGCTCGTCTAAGGTTCCGTCTGCGCGTCTAAGGTTCCGTCCGCGCGTCTAAGGTTCCGTCGCGCGTCTAAGGTTCTCTGCGCGTCTAAGGTTCCGTCCCGCGTCTAAGGTTCCGTCTGCGCGTCTAAGGTTCCGTCTGCTCGTCTAAGGTTCCGTCTGCGCGTCTAAGG